CTGAACAGCATCCACATATTTTAAATCTACGATGTGTTGTGCACTGTATGAATTTAATATCTAATGATATTTTAAAGCATAAATTTGCTAAAAAAATTCTTTATCAATGCTCTGCAATTGTAAATTTTTTTAATTCATCACATCAATTACATTTTTTAATTATAAACAAAATGTATATGATGGTGGACTAAAAAACTATACTAAGACTTGCTGGACCAGTGCATATGAATATGTATATTCAATATATCATCACAAAATATCTTTGGAAGAAGTAAATATATTTTAAATATACTATATTTTATATTTTTAATATTTTAATAATTCTAATTAATAGATTTAAAGATTTTAGATCAAAACATGCATTTATTCAACAATAAAACTGGAAAAATTATCAAAATATATCTAAAATCCCGTGGATTTTTTGATAATGTTTTAGATCTTTCTAATGTATTAAAACCAATTAATGATACTATTAGATGTCTTGAAAGTAAAACAGCTAATTTGGCAGAATGTTATTTAGAATATATTAAATTAGCTATTGCTATTAAAAATATTTTTCAAGATCATCATTTAATGTTTTACCATATATGCATCTCAATTTTTAATAAAAGATTTCGTATATTTGACTATGATGAGTATCTATTAGCATATTATTTACATCCTAAATATCGAGGTTTGTTTTTAATTTAATAAATATATATTTATTATAATTTTTTTTAAATATACCAGATACAGTATATTTATTTAAAAATTATAGGTGCTGGAATCAAACAATCGCAATTTGTTCGAGTAGCTGGAATTGCAGACCGTTTATAGATTAAAATGATTGGATCAAAAAAAAAAGGTGATTTAGAGATACTAAAAGCACAATTGCATAAATATGCTTGCAATGAAGAACCTTATAATGGATCTTATGTATCAGCTGTTGATAGTTCAACTCGATGGTGGAAAACTACTAGTGATGGTATTAAAGATAAATTAGGTATTCTCTCTTCTTTAGCAGTTAAACTATTTTCAGTACGTCCTCATGCAGCATGTTGTAAGCGTGTATAGTCACGTTGTGGATGGATTTTAGGAGATCGATATAACAGATTAGAAACCCAAAATTTAGAAGCTATGCTAAAAATAAGCTCTTATTTAATATCAAATACAAAACAAGAATTACACTATTACAGATTAGAATTAACAGAAGAGGAAATACAAACTGTTTTTCAAGATGTCACTTTGTTTTCTGAAGATATTGAGGAAGAGAGTATAGATGATTTGGATGAACCTGATAATTTTGATGATTCTAAAGTTGAACATCAAAATTTGGAAATAAAAGATTTGATAATGCTAAATAATTTCGAGTCAAATAATGATGATGAAAATATTGATGATAATAATAATGATTTAGATAAGGAACTAAATAATGATGAATTAGAAGAATTTGATGAAGACAAATTTGGTGCAGAGGTTGAATCAATGTTTGATAATTAAATGTATTAATTATAAAAGTGTTGAAAGATTATTCTAAAAAGATTTATTTTATGATTTTATTTTTTTTTTAAATTTGAATAAATAACAATTTTATAGTGTTTAGTTTTATCATTAAAATATTTGTTACTATTATACAAGTTTAAATTACACGATGCAAATAAAATTGATTTCATCCTATATATTAATTAGACTCAAATCGAAATCATATTCATACATAAAATAGTCGAAGCAATTCCGCTTCATTCTGCACATAATTTACTTCAACTTGTACAGGTTCTGCTACATTTTACCTACCTATCTATTGTATTTTCCCTTGTATCGCCACTTCGCTCCAAGCGACACAGAATTCTGTTTAACTTGCACGGTAATTCGTTTCAATTTTCTAATAGGGCATGGGCACAGTCACAGATCCATGTGAAATCTACTCCCTCTTCAACAAGTTATTAATTTCAAATAAGCCTAGAAAAAATATTTAAGAAAAAATAAAAAAGTAAAGTAGTTAGTCATTTGAACCTTGATAACGTGTGAAATTCACACAATAAACAGGTTTGGATACCTGTCAATAAATAATTTTTTTTTTTTTCAAAAAGTACAGAAGTATGCTTCTGCCTAATTAAGGCATCTGTCTGCCTAGCCAATATTAATGGCTGCCCATCAGAACCTAACTGGCTTGGTTCTGGGGCATCATCAACTTGAATTTTTTAAATTCCAAGATAGCAGTTATCTTGAGAAAAATTCAAGTTGACGATAGTCAACAGATTGAAAAGGTTGCTAAGCAGGGATATGCTAGCTAGATCCAAGTACGCAGCTATTAAGCCTAATCGAGAATGAAGATAAGTGAATAGCATGTGAACGAGCACATGAAGTCAGATAAGCATAAATTTAAGGTTTAATCAATTGCCTTATTAAGTCATTCATGGAATCGCTAATATAGTTGCAGGGCTGAATATAAGAAGAGAACGCATGATTTACTATCGGCACCATCCATCCATATGTGCCAAAATTCGTACCCAAACCCACCTACTACATAGAATTCTGCCATTTTGTGGCAACTTAAAATTTCATATTAAAATTCATATTAAAGCCGGCCTGCTTTGTGCAGTGTGGGAGACCACCGGCTGATGCCCCGCATCGTGAATTTAGCTGATGATGGTAATACCTGGCGCAATTATAGTTGCTATTTTTGGGAGTATATCCCGTCTCAGTTCATACATCAATTGCACTAATGTATGCTGCATATTGTCAATAAAATTCATTCAATAAAGTTAATATCTAGCATAATTAGCTAGATGCTCCAATTAATATATATAACATACGTGCTTTTTTAGAGTAATTTTACTACTATGGATACAACTTCTGATCTTTATTATTATAGTATATAGTAAATACGGAATAACTATAGAATACTGGAATTTTTTTATTAACAGTGATAAGCCAAATTTTTTCTTCTGTACTTTATATTTTTAATTTAGACATTTCGACAATTGACATTTCTACTATATTTAGACATTTTGACAATATTTAGACATTTCGACATAACTTTAGAATTTCAACATGACTTTAAAATTTGACACTATTTTAGAATTTTAACATGCTTAAATATAAAATATCGAAATATTTCAACAAGCATAAAATAATTTCAGCTAACAACATTAGGAGTTATACACTAGTAGTTAGATAAACATGCCTACTTTGGTTAAGTGTAAAGGGTGCAGTACAAGCAAAGATAAAAACAAAATAATTAGCAGCACCTGCATAAAATAGAGGCAAAAAAAGAACATAGTAGTAATTAATTCGAGCCTTATTGAGAAGATTAACATACAAAAAAAAACAAAAAGACTCTGTATACCTTTGAGTTGCTTCACAAGTATAAATACACAAAAGCAAGAGACTTCAGAAAGCCCAAAAAATGGGGTCTAACAAGAATCACAAATAGAAAGTATAGTAATCAACTTACTAAAAAATAAAATAATAAACCTGGCTCTTGAGAGCAGAGAGGCAGCAAAAAAGGACAAATAAGCAATATTAGATTTAAGAAGAAAAACAAAGATTGCCTTCTACACAAACGGCTCTATGTATAGCCCAAAGGGTAAGTCTGAGAAGAAGAAAATAGGTCTTGGCTAGGTAGTATTTTCCAATACAGAAGAGAAAGAAAATAGAAAAAGGGTGGCTAGTTTACAGAAGGCAATTAAAGACTGGCCATCCTCAACAAGAACAAAGTTGGGAGCTATTTGAACAGCTCTGCTAGCAGCTCTATGCAACAAGAAAATAGAAGTTTATACCAATAGTGCTGCAGCAATACAAGCTATTCAAGCATCCCAGAGATTAGAAAAGTCACAGGATACTTTAAAAAAGAAAAACCTATATTTACTGGGACAGATACAATAAATTATAAAACTTAAAAATCTAAAAGTTCATTTAGATAAGGTTAAAGCACATAGTAGAATCAAAGAGAATGAGACTGCGGATAGGCTTATGAAAGAAGGTGCCTATAGCTTAGTAGTGTTTACCTCAAAATAGTCATGAAAAGAGCAGATAACAACAGAGTTAAAGTGAAAAGATCTGATGGTAGATGATAACACAAGAAGTTTCATCACACAGTTAACAGAGATATGTATAGATATTGAGTGAAAAAACCTAAAAAATATCAATAGATGGGTTGATACTAAGCAAGCATCAGAAATAATCATATAAAAAGAAGTGTAGATAAAGCAAAAGAGCAAAACTGCCAAAGCTTTAGACAAAACAAGAATTGGATCTTTAAAGTTAAAAGTCTACATAATCTACTTTCAACAATGCAGATACTAAATATGAGAAAAAAGAATTTTTATCTAAATAACACATGCAAAGTATGCCAGCAAGAAACGGAGACTGTCAACTACTTGGCTACATATAAAGAGCTGCAAAAGATATAGGATATTATTGAAAAAGAAGGCACAGAACACCTTTTGAAGAAGGCCAAAAGAGATAAAGTAAACTTGAAAACTACAAACATGCGAGAGATCCAGTGCCTGGTATATAGAGAAGATGAACAAGAAAGAATCACTATAAGAATAGAATTAATAAAAGGTCTAATCACAAGAAGAAGAAAGAAAAACTTTGACAAGATCTTAGACAAAGTAAAGAAGGTTAGCAACTTTATTCAAGACATATTGGACCACTTCTAGCAGCAGTTCTACAAGCATATCTGGAGCTTTTGATATGAACTAGTGGCAAAATAGAAAAAAGCAAATGGTGTAACAAAGAGAAAAAAGAGAGAAAAGAAAGAAGAAGAAGCATCCCACACAGAAAGAAGTAAAGATAAAAAAAGTAAGAGCAGCCTGAAGTTGAATCCTGAAAAGAACTTACTAGACAAAGAAACAAGTAGTACCAAAGAAAGCCAGGTAAAAAGCTTGAAAGAAGAACAAATTAAAATTATCAAAGACTAGATTATATAGAGAAAGAAACCAGCATGGTTATCATTAGTAAAGGTCTAGCAAAACAAATAAGCATTTCTGACAAGACATATAATGGCTGACTTATAAACCAAGAGAGGTATCAAAGATGGTATGAAATTCTTAGCAAGTTAAAGATCCCAAGGGAAATAAACAGTTGTTATGGCAGACCATATTAGGTTTAACCTGATGAGTCTTTATTAGATTAGAACAATAAGTTATAAGAGTTTTAGTATATAAGTGTATATAAATTATATAGCAGTTTACATGAATAAAGGCAGGATTACTTATAAAAAAAAATAAATAAATTAAAAATTTAATAATATTTTAAGGATAAATCTATTTGTAACAGCCTATTATACACTTATTAGTAACAGTTTGCTTATAACTCAAAATTTTACTAAGATAATCTTTTTTGTATTATTAATGAAAAATGATTCTTTTGCAATTTTGTATTAATTTTAATACTAACTTTAAATCTAACCTAACACTAATCCTAATACTAACTTTAATACTAACTCTAATACTAACCCTAATACTAATTCTAACATTAATAGGCTGTTGCAAATAAGTAAATAACAGGCTATTACAAGTAGATTTTTTTATATTTTAATATTTAAGGGTAGAGTAAATGATTTTCAAATTTTAATATAAAATCGGTTGTAAATTTTTTTGTATAACTATATAAAAATAGAACATAGCAAAATACCAGAGTTTAAATCTAGAACTTTTATATATAGTCGACTCTGTAAATTTGAGTTTAAAAAAATATTTCTTTGCTTTAAGAATCATTAGTGTTGATCCCAATTATTAAACAAATAGACAACAAGAATTGCTATTAGTATACCAAGAATATATAAATATTTTTTTATTATTTGTAGCAGATCATAATGAAATTAGATTAAAATAAAACTGAGAACCTTTCTTGCTTATCTTTAAAGCTTATAAAACTTACTTATACTTTTTTATTAAAAAAACTAACTCTAAACTCTAACTCTAACACTAACCCTAACCCTAAAAAAATATCCCCTAAAAAATTTTAAATTTTTCTAAAAAAATAAAAAAAATTCATTTTAATCCAATTTTATTTTAATCTGTCATATTATTTACTTTAACTATATACAATTAAAGTTTTCTATTTTTTTGTCTAATAGGACCAAGTTTTTATTTAAACAAGTGAATTCATATTCTCTATTACTCCCTCTATTATTATACTACATGTCAAAAGAATTGAATTTTTTTTTCTTTCTAGCAAAATAGACTTCTTAACAAAGCTATAATATGCCAGATTTGATAGTACTAATTCGGCTAATGCTTTTGTTTTTAATATTTCAGATTTGAAGCAGTTATTAATATCTGACAATTTTAACCTTCTATCTAAAAGTCACTTATTATATGAGCAAACAAAGACATCCACTATATCTTGAGGTGTGATTGATTTGTCATTACTCATATATAACTCCTCTATAGTATATATTATGTTCAGAATATCTGATTGTGCATTACTTTGCTCCACTTTATTTACATTATGATTTATGCAATTATTGCACTTATTACAAGCTGGTGGAATCTGATTATTTGGCTATGCATGATATTTCAATAT